GTGTGATGATGCAATTATTCCCAGTCTACATTTATGGGTACTAGCCTATAACCATTTTTTAAAGAATATAGTTTTCACTTCCAATTCTTAGGAGCAGTGCTATATCACACACATAGTTTCAAGGTTGCTTAAACCAAAAGACAAGGATGAGCTCATTAAAAGAATGGTCAGACTGAGTTTTATCACTCACAGCAATTACAGTATCTCTTAACCTTGCCACACCACAAACGATACAAAAAGTGTTTTCCCGTTGACTAACATCTGCTGAAGAACTTTTAAAGAAAAAGCAAGACACATCCAGGAAGGATGACAAGAAGTATTTTTATTAATTATTGTCTTGTCCATACAATACAAACCCCAGATGAAGTATATGTACTTCTGTACTTGCATATCTATTATAAATGCATGTATGTCACTATACATCTTCAAGTAAAGCCAAAAATCTGTCAGCACTTTGAGCCCTACTTTGACCGAGGCAGGGGCAGAAATCCCATTTAACTTCCTGAAACAAATCTGATTGGATTTATTGATCATATCTATGCCAATCTTTAAACTATACATGAAAATCAGGTATTGGGAACAGGTATGCTTCAATCCAACTACAACCCAATACAAGTGTGCACCATGTGCACACATGCACACACACACACACACACACACGTGCTATATTTGGTAACCACTAAGAGGTTTTCAGAGTGGATGTCTCAGCCTTATCCTTGCCTTTATGGTCATTTATTGCAAAGCTATATTAAATTAAACACATACCTAACCCTATAATAGTACTTATCCTCTGAAAAATGTTCATGCTTCAGTTTTCTACTACATAAAAAAGATGTTCCTAAATTCATACACCACATGGGCCAATTTCAATGCATCTATGTTGTCACCTCTTAAAAATCTAAGCCTTCATATTCTGTTAGCAGTATGATACTTTGTGACTTTTTTCAGAAAAAAAGTTAAAGCTAGTGATGGCTAGCTGGCTGAATGATTAAAAATTATCCTGTTTCAAAATCTGATTAAAACCTAATAAGATCCAATGTGTAAGAACTTATTGAAACATATGGATCCCCCTGCCCTGCCAAAAAAATCTCATTGGCATTTGGGTACACAAGCAACAGCGGAGAAACCAGACATATGATCTAGTTTTGGACCAAATGCAGAGTGGGAACTGCATTTTTATAACCATTTCTATTTAAATAGTGTCATCATCCTTAGTTTTGGCTGTTGTCACTTGAATATTTTATTAAAAAGCTCATAACAGAATGCCACTGGGGAAACCATGTCTGTATTTTATAAAGATATAAATAACAGAGACACTATGAACAACATTGAGCCACAAGGGGACAAAAGTCTTTAAACTGTGATGATCACTTTCACTTGCTTCCACTCTAATCCTATAATGCAGTTACAAAAATACAGTAATTAATGAAAAAGTTCCTTTCATGACTACATTA